CCCCCAGCCCTCACTGGGGTTGTCGTCGGGAGGAACGACGTGGTCGGAAATTGGCGGAACTCATTTCCACCATGGGCCTAACCATCCTGACGGACCCCACACACCCAACCCGCATTGGAAACTCTGTTACCCGAGACACATGTCCCGATCTCACACTCACCAAAAACATCAAACACGCAGATTGGCTCAATACCGAGGAAACCCTCGGTAGTGACCACTGCATTGTCATTACCACAATCCGGACACACCCCCTTACTCGTCCCCACCGCCAAGCGAAACTTCCAGACTGGACCAAATTTTGCTTGGTATACTCCAATCCGACCCCCATAGCTCACCAAGAATACTACACTTGGTCCCAACATCTCGTAAACTCACTCCACAAAATCGAGCAGACGGTTCAACTTTCAGAGGCCACGCCGGCGGTGGACAACCACCTCCTGCATCCCTGGGAGGCTCGGCACAGCCTAGTGCGCCGATGGCGCCGACAGAAACACAACCGACAGCTCAAAATCCGCATAGCGGCTCTCGCCCTAGAGGCCGACGAGTACGCGGCCCAGCTCGCCGACTCAAACTGGGTAGAGCGCTGCAACACTGCCGCCACACAGATGTCAAGCCGCAACAGCTGGCGTCTCTTTAGAGCTCTCATCGACCCTAGCCAAACACGCACAGAAACACAGAAACACCTTCAGCGCGCGCTTCACGCCTATGCGGGTGACGCGGAAAAATTGGCACAGGCTCTCAGAGACAAATATCTCTATAGCTAACAGGACCCCATCGGACCGGCGTCCTCATATGCAGGCACGGAAAACGCCGAGTTGGATCGTTGCTCTCAGCTCCACCATCTGAAGACGGCCCTGTCCAAAATGAAACGAGGCACAGCGCCAGGTCGGGATCGAGTGACGGTTCGGCTCCTAGCCAACCTCCCTGACTCGGCGTACATTCACCTCCTCGACTACTTCAATCAGATCTGGGAGGGGCGCGAACCCCTACCGCTCGATTGGAAAACGGCCTCAGTAACTTTCATCCCTAAATCAGGCAAATCTGTAAACATCGACAATCTCAGACCAATTTCCCTAACCTCATGCGTAGGGAAACTTATGGAAGTCATGGTCCGGGACAGGCTCTCTGAATACTTAGAGGCCCGACACACTTTTGCAGACACTATGTACGGCTTTCGCCCACATCGCTCTGCTCAGGACATCCTCCTGCAACTCCATCGTGACGTTGTCGAACCGGTCGAACATCCCAGTGACGACAAGGTAGTCCTCGCCTTAGATCTCAAGGGAGCTTTCGATAACGTTACCCATGACATCATCCTTACCAGCCTATCACAAACAAACTGTGGGCATAATGCTTTTAGGTACGTCCGCCAATTCCTCATAGAACGGCAGACATACCTGCGTATTCAAGACAAGGAGCATGGACCGTACCCCCTCGGTGCGCGCGGAACACCACAGGGAGCAGTCCTCTCTCCTCTTCTGTTCAATCTTGCCATGGCTCACCTTCCCTCATTGCTAAACGATGTCCCAGGCGTGCAGCACGCTCTGTACGCCGACGACATCACGCTATGGGCAACTCAGGGTTCCCTTGGTAGCATCGAGACATGCCTGCAACATGCCGCGCGTCGATAGTTGACAGCTACGCCCGCGGCTGCGGTCTCGAATGCTCACCCACCAAATCGGAATACGTGCATCTTCGCCCCAAACCGAACGACACGACACAAATTGAACTCACCTTGTGTAACAGGGCCATTCCGGAACGCGACGAAATCAGAGTCCTGGGACTCTTCATACACAAACACCGCAAAATTGACACCACTATGCGCAAACTACGCACTGTGGGGGATCAGGTGGGCCGCATGATCCGCCGGGTTTCGAACAAGCGAGGAGGTCTCAAGAGCCGTGCTGCTCTGCGCCTCGCCAACGCTTTCGTGACCAGCCGGATCCTTTATTCGACACCTTACCTGCGTCTGCGTAAATGCGACGAGAATACACTAGACTGTATACTCCGCAAAATTTACAAACGTGCCCTAGACCTCCCCATCTCAACGTCGAACCAACGTCTCGCAGACCTGGGCATGACAAACACGTACGGGGAACTTAAAGAGGCTCATCTCAATAACCAGTACCTGCGCCTTAGTAGGTCTCAGGATGGGAACAACCTCCTACACCGCCTCCACATTTCCAACACCCACAAGGTGGAAGAGCGTACCGCGATCCCCGAGGATTGGCGTGGTGCACTGATTATTCCACCTCTGCCCCAAAACATGACAAATGGGACTCACGATGGGCGGCGTACAGCGCGGGCTACAGCCCTACAGCAACGGTATGGCTCACGCCCGGGAGTCTTCAACACGGACGCATCCGGCCCCCACCACGGCGAGTGGTACACGGCCGCTGTGGTTCACCAAAACGTACCTATTCAAGGGCTCACCTTTCGAACACCGGACATCACACACGCGGAGGAGGTCGCCATAGCCCTCGCCACAGCGGACCCCGCATCTCGGATAATTATTACCGATTCGCGGAGGGCGTGCCAAAATCTCACACGGGGTTGCATCAATGATCGCGCCGCCGAAATCTTTAAGCGATGCTATTATCTAGATCGCCCAAATCCACGCACCGTCATCTGAACTCCTGCTCATACGGGGCTAGTTGGAAACGAGGCTGCAGATGCCTCGGCCCGCGCGCTTAATTACCGGAACCCGCCTCGCCCTCCATCGCCTGATGTTCCAGAACCCAATCCGGCTACCTCTTTCAGAGAAATCACCGCTATGTACAAATCGAACAGGCTCCGCTTCCCACCCCCAGCATCGGGCCTGCCCAAGAAGGACGAGCGCTGGCTCCTCCGTCTCTATACCAATACAGTATTGTGCCCGGCGATACTCAAACATTTCAATCCGGGATTCTCTGGGGAATGCCCGCACTGTGACCATCTGTTCGCGGATACTTTCCATATGGTGCGGGCATGCCCCTCAAATCCGGCGGTCCCGCCACTTCCTTCCCCTTCCCTCCCTACCCGAGAAAGCTGGGAGGCTGCCCTGCTCGGTTGCTCGACCCTAGAGGACCAGCGTGCCCTAGTGGCCCGGGTGCGTGCTGCAGCAGAAGCCACAGGGGTCCCGGACCCCTGTAAGGGGCCGGGACCCCTGTGGCTGTGGCCGGCCCCTTTTGTAAGGGGCCGGCCCTTAAAGCCGTCCCCAACTCTCTCCTGTCAACTGAGTGAATAAAGTTTACTACCTACCTACCTACCGCCGAATATGCCCTCTACCACGGGGCGAACGCCGGATGCATGCGCTATCACCCGGTTTTCGCGCGGCTCGCAAACGCCACTATGCTATTCAGTGATCCAGACGTTGATGATTCGCGTACGCGGGAAGGAAGAAGAAGCAGTACTGCTTACCTAGCTGGCAGGTCGCTGTATTTTAATGCATGAAGAAAAGGAAAAACCGCCGATGCCAGCGGCGTTGGAGGGTTCGTCTTGCTTTGCAAGACCGCGACAAGCTCTGTGACGCCAAACGACAAGCTCGGTCGCCTCTTTCACGACATAGGGACGTGAAGTAGGCACAGAATGGGTTTAACTCCTATTGGTTAGAACACTCAGTTACGTGCAGTGCGACATGACAAGGGAGTAGAGCTTGACCGCCATTTTTCAAAATTCTTTGACTAGCAGTCCTATTGGTCCTCGGTAACCGATTTGGCGGAAGACGCCGCAAAAATAGGTACGAGAGTGATCGGCGCGGAGAGGGCCCCTTCGACGGATCTCGCAGCCACCGAATCGGATTCGGCGCACTTTCGGCGGCCGGAATGCTCAGTGGGAACGCGAGGCACGTCTAGTTCTTGACTCGGCAAGCTCCGGTGAAAACAATGGGTCACGTACTGCTTTCCGATAGTTGTGACCGTAGTACAGGAGAACGGCTCAACGCCGCAGACGCTGCCATTCTCGTCTAGGAATTCTAGGTTTCCTTCGCTCAAGCACACGACAACACATTGCCGAAGGTAAACAAAAAAGCTGTGCCGCCAACCATTTTCGGAGAGGTCGTCGCGACGACTGCTTTTGGTTGCGAAGACCAACGCTCACTGTAGGCTGATTGCATAATCTTTCAAGTGCGTAGCTGCTTAAAAATACACATTCAGAATTCCAGCCCGCTATTAACAATGCGGTGATACGAGTGGTGACGCAGACGACACGAGACGCCATGTGCCCACCGCATCCCTCAAACCCCCTGGAAAGGCACGTGGCTTCCACTAGACTTCTCGCGTTGAAAATCGCATTGCGAGGAGGGAAGTGGTTCTTAAATGAGTGAAAAGAAGATAAAATTAAGCCCCGTAACTGTCTGCATCATAGTGCGATACCTCAACGGTAGCTCACGAGGGATGGGGGTAAAGAGGAATTAAAAGAGATAGGGATAGAAATATAGCAGGGACATAGAGACCCACATACAGAAATAAGGTAGGAAAGATGGACACGATCGCGGGAGTCCGAAGACGGGGCACCACTTAGCGAGAGCTCTTGTCGGCGTCAGGAGATGGCGTAGGGCGAGACAGTCGGCCACAGCTGCACTGTCGTCGGAGATCGCGGGGGCACAACCGATCGGCATGAAATCCAGCGAGCGAGCCTGCCGCATTGTGAGGGCCTCTCCTTATTTTATTTAACCCGTGGCATCGACCTTCCAAAACAATCATGTGAATAGCCGGGGAGAGTCATGGTTCCGCGATCTCCTTTTCCCTTTGCTTCTTTAGAGCGAAATCACACCGCAATGGTGGCTTAGTGGTTGTGCTCTTTGACTGCTGAACTGCAGGTAGCGGGATCAAATCCCGACCATGGTGGCCACGTTTTCGATGAAGGCAAAAATGCTCGAGACCCACAAAGAACCCCACGTGGTGGAAATTACTGGATTCCATCACTACAGCGTTTCTCATAATAATGTTTTGGTTTTAGAATGTTAAACCTCAGATATTATGAATAATCAATCGATCAACCTTTTGCTCATTCTGGTGCAGCTCGTTTGATGACGTCATGCTGGAACAGCACAAAGAGCGCATGAGGGAGATCGTGCAACGTGACAAGAATCGGCCCTCGGTCATCCTCTGGTCACTGGCCAACGAGGCGAGCACCAACAAGCATCCGGCAGGTCACTACTTTGCCCGTCTAGCGCAATACGTTCGCAAGCTGGACGCCACGCGGCCCATCACTGCTGCCATCAATAAGAAGTACGACCAAGACCTCGCGGTAAGGACACGCGATGTCCGTCGGCACGCGAAGTTTCCCGTCTTTCCATCACCGGATCTCATCAATATCATAAGTTTGTTTGCAACATCTGGGTTTGTAATGCGTTTAGTAAAGTAAATCTCTTTAACATTCGGCAAACCTCAATTAGAGAGCCACAGAGAATTTTCACCACAATTGAATTATCATAAATAGGCCTCATCGATAACGCCGTCTTTTTGTTTTTCGTATTTCGCGGTTTCTGACAGGAAAATTAAGTTTTATTATGTTTTCTTTATGTCTATAAAAGCATGTTGCTTTTTTGCCTATAGGATAGTCTTGTACAGTATATTATGTGTACATTTTTTACATGAAGTATATTCATGTACCATATATTATGTGTACATTTCATTTTCCTTTTCTTTTTTCTTTTTGTTTTTCGCTCGTTACTACCTTTTACGTTACCACCTTTTTTTTTATGTAGGGTGGCCAGGACACCCTCAAGCTGATTGTATCAGTTTTTCCCCCTGGTCTCCCACAACATCGTGTTGTAAATAAATAAATGAATAAATAAATAAATAAATAAAATGGTACAAAAAGTTTTTGCGCAGCCTTAAACAAGGTAATTATTTTAAATATTCAGCCGTGCAAAGTTACTATCAATGAATGCAAATAAAAAGGTGTATTCAGCTAGCCACGGATTACCAAATTACCGTTTCATAGTCAGCGCCAGCGAAAAGGAGGCAACGAGGCAATGTCATTGTTGTGATTATTTCGGGAGTGCTTGCTAAGTATTGGGACCATGAGAAAAACTGGAGACCGTGGTGGCATGACAAGACAAACTTTATTGTACAAAAAAGAAGGAGCAAAGAAACACTCAAAGTACACATGCAACCACCTTATGTGCGCAATAGTCTGCTATGAACTGAAACCAGACTTTCTGAAATTTGAGTAGAGCCAACTTTATCCCTAAGCCAGCGGGGCTACTCTCCTAAAGACGGTCCCACGGCGTGACGAACTGTTCGTGGTGCCCCGTTTGCCGCAACAACGAAGTCTCCCATCGTTCATCCGCTCGACGTTGGTGACCCTCTGTTGAGCGAGTCGCTTGTTTGTCTCGTAACCCGGTCATCGTGGGAAGATTAGGTCTAACCATCGACATCTCACTCCAGGGACTGTCGAGTTGGTCGTAGACGTCCTGTTAAGCAAGTGAAGAGCGGCAGGTGTCGCGGGAACTGCTATGCGAAGTGCTGCAGGTTCGGGGAGCGTCTCCCGGCATCTACCAATATCGACGACTGCTTTTCCGCACTCTCACGCCGCTTTCTCCAGATCATCGCGAAAACGGCGCTGTCTCCTTTGTTCGCTGCTCCGCAGGACAATGCCACCTCACATTCTAGGGTTTTCTACCACGGATCTAATTGCGAACCGTGAGATTTCCTCCAACCAGTCGTGAACGTGGCACGTATGCACATCATCGGGAGGGCTCATGCACCATAGCCACATTCCTGCGTTTGGCCTCATGCACTTTTACTCATGACAGTCTTGTTCTTTTCAAGAACAATTCAATTGAGTGTCTGGGCTGGTGGTAAACGCTGTGTGCCTGCTTTTCATGCTTTGTTCCTTCCATCACCTATGGACTAACATATTCTCTTACACGCTGCAGGGTGACCACTTGGACGTCATCATGCACAACAATTACCCGGCATGGTACAGCGACGTAGGCTCGACCGAGGTCATCGTTCCGCAGATCGTGGACGAGTACAAGCACATGTGGCAGCGGTACCGCAAGCCCATCATGATAAGCGAATACGGAGCCGACTCCATTCCCGGGATCCACGCCGACCCGGTCTTCGTCTTCACGGAAGACTTCCAGACGGAAGCCCTGGGCTGCTTCCATCGGGCATTCGACCAGCTGCGTGAAAGCGGCTTCTTTTTCGGCGAGCATGTGTGGAACTTTGCCGACTTCATGACTACGCAGAAAGGAAATCGGGTCTATGGGAACCGCAAGGGAATCCTCACGCGAGAGCGCCAGCCCAAAGCGGCGGCCAAAGTGATACGCTGCCGCTATTACAAACTGGCCAACAGGATGCTGCCAGATCACGATGCATACTGTATACCGGACGGACGGCCGTAAATAAATGGCTATGCATACGTATACAAAGGCTCCCGGGGTCATCCATATGAAGCATAAACGTTCTTAGAGCACGTATGCACGCATGCGCTTGAGAAACCAACCTACGTACCTACCTACCTGCCCGCCCGCCCGCCCGCCCGCTTGCCCACCCGCTTACCTATCTATCTATCTATCTATCTATCTATCTATCTATCTATCTATCTATCTATCTATCTATCTATCTATCTATCTATCTATCTATCTATCTATCTATCTATCTATCTATCTATCTATCTATCTATCTATCTCGCTCACTCACGAGACCACACACTTATCTTGGGGTCACGAAAGAAGGAATGAGAGGAGTGGGCATGCCCCGCTGGCGAGCTACGCGAAAAACGTGGGTGAAATGACGTCATTGCGGCCATACTAGGAATAAATGGCGGCATTGCTATGGTTACGTGCTATGCAGTGTAGCTGGTCTAGCAGTGAGCGGTGCTGGCATGTGCTTCTCCGTAGGTCTCGCACTAAGCCGTGGCGACAATATCCGTGCTGCATTCCGCGTTGTTAGGTACAGACTGTTTGTTCTCCCGGCGGTTATTGTCCTCCTACCAACGTTACAAAAACTGTTCTTAGCCACGGGACCAAACAGTGCGTAGAACGAGTGCGTAGCGAAACACCAACAAGAGCATCACGAGCATGGCATATAGTCATGTTTTTACATCACACGCACCTGATGATTATCATGACTGCATCAGTCACATTCACATCACATCAGTCACATCAGTCACATCAGGCGCTTGATTCAGTAGAAATATCAGCCGTCAAGCAGACACTGCGGAATAAGGGCGTCGATGAAGTATATATAAACATCCTTGAAGAAATCTACAGGGGATCATCTGCTACCATAGTGCTTCATAAAAAAGCAATAGGATACCAATTAAGAAGGGTTTAAGGCAGGGGGACACAATCTCCCCAATCCTATTCACCGCATGCTTACAGGAGGTTTTCAGAAGCCTAGAATGGGAACAGTAAGGGATAAGAGTTAATGGAGAGTACCTTAGTAACCTGCGCTTCGCCGATGACATTGCATTGCTGAGTAACTCAGGGGACGAATCGCAACGCATGATTACGGTGTTAGTCAAGGAGAGCAGAAAGGTGGGTCTTAAAATTATACGGCAAAAAACGAAAGTAATGTACAACAACCTCGGAAGAGAGCAGCGCTTCGAGATAGGCAGTAGTGCACTTCAAGTTGTAAAAGACTATGTCTACTTAGGGCAGGTAATAACCGTGGAGCCGAACCACGAGATTAAAGTAACTAGAAGAACAAGAATGGGGTGGAGCACATTTGGCAAGCACTCTCAAATTATGACAGGTAGATTGCCACTATCCCTTAAGAGGAAGGTATATAACAGTTGTATCTTGCCGGTACTTAGCTATGGAGCAGAAACCTGGAGACTTACAAAGAGGGTTCAGCTTAAATTGAGGACGACGCAGTGAGCAATGGAAATAAAAATGGTAGGTGTAAGCTTAAGAGACAAGAAGAGAGCAGAGTGGATTAGGGAATAAACGGGGGTTAATGATATCATAGTTGAAATCAAGAAGAGGAAATGGACATGGGCCGGGCATGTAGCGCGTAGACAGGATAACCGCTGGTCATTAAAGGTAACTGACTGGATTCCCAGAGAAGGCAAGCGAGTTAGGGGTAAACAGAAGGTTAGGTGGGCAGATGAGATTAAGAAGTTTGCGAATATAAATTGGCAGCAGCAAGCACAGGACCGGGTTAACTGGTGGAACATGGGAGAGGCCTTTGTCCTGCAGTGGACGTAGTCAGAATGATGATGATAATGATGATGATGATGATGATGATGATGATGATGAAACACAGACGCAAGGCGTGCCTCTCAAGCATCATAAGCGGGCGAAGCTTATCGGCAGGATTGCCAGAGTATATTATTACGTGGTTCCGGCTGACTGTAACAGGGCTTAGTGGGACATAACCGAAAAGGGCTCCTCAGACTGACAGTGAAAAAGTGGACGTTGTCGGGGAGCTGTGCTGTGGCTGCGGACTGACTACTGTTATTTTCCACGTAACATTTGGTGGAGGTGCTGGGTACTCTTTTGACGACGGAGCTACGCAGTGGACGCCTCCTTAAGTCTGCTACCATGGCTCCGGGCGAGAATACGCCTTCGCCACCTACCTTGGCAACGACAGCAACCCAATACGTCACCCTAACGCAAACCCGTGATCCCGGTACCTTTACTGGAGAGAGCAACGCGATTATGGACGAGTGAGTTAGTACGTACGAGCGCGTCAGTAAGGAATATGGCTGGGACCCAACCGTTATGCTTGCGAATGTCATTTTCTATCTTGACAAGAACCCTCGCATCTGCTTTGAGACGCACGAGAACGAAATCACAAGCTGGGAAATGTTTGAACAACAGTTCCGCGACCTTTTTGGCAACCCGTTTGGTCAACAGCTTGACGCCCGAAAGCAATTGGCCGTACGTACACAGACGTCCACTGAGCCCTACTTGACTTATATTCAAGACGCCTTAGCATTGCGTGAAAGGGTCGATAGAAACATGACTGAGGCTAATAAAATATCGCACATTTTGAAAGGAATCGCTGACTATGCGTTCAGCCTGCTTGTATTTACGAATGTAGCGACCACTGACGCCGTCTCGAGCAGGCGAAGAGTCGACGCATTTTACACCAGTTCCAGCGCTTACCCAACACCGCGTCTACGTCCTCTTGCGAAGGCACTCCTTGTCAGCCATCTACAACCGAAGACGTGATGTCCATCGTCCGACGTGAACTCGAGGCTGCTCACCCGGCTGCCAACAAACCGACGTTGCCCGACGCCTCAACGCCAGCTGTCTCCTTGATCCATGCTGTTGTTCACCAAGAATTCGCTAACCTGGGTATCCTGTGCACTGCACCCACCTGAATAATACTGATCCCTCAATAGCTTCTGTGGACATGAGACATCGCGGTCCGTACTCTTTTCGAACCAGGAACCTGTCTAAATGGCGAACAGCTGATGATAAGCCAATCTTCTTCCACTGTGGTCGCGTTGGACACATCACACGTTAATGCCGCAGCCAGTGGCCATCTATGCCTTCTGGCTCGTACCCCACTTAGAGTAACTCATTCCGTCCACCGAACTATCGTTATCCGACCCGCACTGAGTCTACGGCATTTACTGCCCTGAGGACTATGGTCACCCTGTCCCGTCGTCGCCGCCACCTAAAGCCGCCCTTCTCGTTCAAATACGTGTTGCCACCCTCCCTCACCATCGTTTAACCCCGGCATGTCCCCAGAAAACTGGGCTGTGCAGCTTCTGGAGGTGAAGCTGCCCTGTCAACCTTACCCCGAAATCCTCTGTTGCCCTTACGTTTGAACCAGAACACCCTTGAAGTATGTGTTGATGGCACACCGGTTGAAGCTTTGATTGATACGGGCACTCACGTCTCTATTATGAGTTCGCATTTTCGTCGTCGCATGAAGAGGGTCCTCACGCCTCCCTTGACCCGTGTCGTCCAAGTTGCAGATGGCGCAACAGTTACACTCGTCAATATGTGCACAGCTCAACTTACCGTAACCGGTCATCAAGTGGTCGTCCTTTTTAACGTCCTCGCAACATGTCCCCACGACCTCATACTAGGCCTCGATTTTGTTGCCGCGAATTCCGCTCTGATTGATTGCTCCGCTGGCGTGCTCCGCCTTGAACTGCCACAAATCAGGGACGTCCCGTACCAATCCACATGCCGATTACAATGCAGCGACTTTGTTCACCTGACCTCCAAAACTGTAAAGTATATCGATTTCCTGTGCTCACCAGCTCTTCCAGACGGTGACTATTATGCTACGTCTCTCACTGACGTATACTCCTTGCGCATAATGTTTCAGTTCCCTACACGGTGCTCAGCATCACAGATAAGAGAACTTGTCTACCACTTGTAAATTTTGGCTACATGAATCAAGTGCTTCCACAAGGCATTTCTGTGGCCCACCTGTGTCCGTTGCTCGATTCACAAACCGAAGTGATTGCCTTAGATACCCTTGTTTCAATGCAGCGCACACCGCTCGCAGCGCATTCAGGCAGCCATCAAATTGTAGACATGATCGCCACCGATCTTCCGTCTAGTTGAAGCCCTACAGCGCCTTCTCGAGGCCTACTAGGATATTTTCGGTTTCGGCAACCGACTTCTAGGGCAGACGTCCCTTGTCGAGCATCGCATACGCACAGGTGATGCCAACCCTGTTCCCCGCCGTCCCTACAGAGTGTCTGCTTTTGAGCGGGGCATCATTCAGAAGCAGGTGAACAAGATGCCAGCGAAGGACATTATTAAACCATCCTCCAGTCTCTGGGCATACCAGGTGGTATTAGTTAAAAAGAAGGACGGATCGTGGTGATGTTGTGTGGACTATGGCCACCTTAACAACATCACCAAGAAAGACGCATACCCGCTGCCACGAATTGACGACGCCCTTGATTGGCTCCATGGTGCTGCCTACTTTTCTTCCATTGGTCTTCGTTCTGGTTATTGGCAGATTTCCGTGGACCCCATGGACCGAGAGAAGACTGCTTTTGTAACACCTGGTGGCCTCTACCAATTTAAGGTCATGCCTTTCGGCTTATGTAACGCCCCCGCCATCTTCGAACGAGTGATTGACTTCCTGCTCCATGAATTCAAGTGGTCTACGTGTCTTTGTTATCTGGATGACGTGGTTGTGTTTGCTCCCACTTTTGAAACGCACCTTGAGAGACTGTCCAAAATTCTTGATGTATTCCGTCGCGCCGGCCTTCAGCTGAATCCATTCAAGTGCCGGTTTGGTCGCCGCCGCATTACAATACTTGGGCATATTGTTGACGCTTACGGCGTACAGCCTGACCCAGAAAAAGTTCGAGTTGTGAAGGACTTTCCTGTGCCGAAACCGCCAAAGATGCCCGCAGCTTTGTGCGGCTCTGCTCCAACTTTTGGCGGTTCATCAAGAACTTTGCGGAAATTGCTCAGCCCTTGAAATATTTACTCAAAGCAGA